GTTAATTCCGCTCGTTTCGGCCTGACGTCAAACTGGTAATTGACGTCGACGCAATCAAGGAGAAAATTTTGGGCGGTGCCTCGGGAAAATTTCCCACTGTGATACTGAGTATCACGGCTGCAGTAAGAAACATTTCTACCGGAGATGTGAGAATTTCCATACATATTTATTTACTCAGATGGTAGTTTATTTATTAAAAAACTTATTAAGGTTCGGCCTCCTATGGTGTAGTGGTTGTAGCGCTAGCTCTACGATCGGGTGGTCCCGGGTTCGATTCGCGGCCAGGCGACCCGAGTTTGATGGTCTCAAACGATGGTTGCCTGGGACTGGTTTTAGGGACAGAGGAGGGACGGGACAGAAGCGCAGGATTAGCCCTTGTGAGCTACTTGAAGTAGGAAAAAAAAAAAAAAAAAANAAAAAAAAAAAAAAAAAAAAAAAAAAAAAAAAAAAGGGATGAAATGGTACTTTTTAGATTAAGAAACTATTACACTCTTTTCGGCCTGACTTCAAACCGGTAATTGACGTCGACATAATCAAGGAGAAAATTTTGGGCGGAGCCTCGGTAAAATTTCCGAGTATGTTATACTGAGTATCAAGGTTGTAGAAAGAGACATTTCTACCGGAAATGTGACAATTTCCATTTATATTTATTTACCCAGATGGTAATTTATTTATTAAAAGGGGGATGAAAGGGTACTTTTTAGATTAGGAAATGCACCAGTATGTTTTAAATTGTTTAGTTTATTTTTTTCTTTCATAAAACACGTGACTGCTTAGAATCAGGGGCTCCTTTATTAGTTCACTCGTCATTAAGAACGGTTATTCTCGGTTTCTTCGTTTCTTTCTACACTAAAAAGTTTCTCTCGTAGAGAAACTTGCCACTTTTATTTTCCTATCGGGTTTTTCTGCCTTATTTCCGTTTATTACTGATGAAAAGGACTGGTCTATCGTCCCTTCGCCACCCACCAGGTTAAAATAAACCGCTTAAAATAAATTGTTCAAATGAACTTTTCAGTGATGTAGAGGATTAAATTGTAGGATCTTTTGAAATTTAAGGACTATATGACACTGATTATTCCACCTGCAGCTTTTGAAAAATTAATATTAAACCTTCAGTTGATATTCCGTCTGTGGGGCAATCCATTCCAACTGTTCTCAATTGCTCCAGTCAATCTTTAGTTAGTAACAATTCAGCGGGATCAACTGAGACTAAGTACGAAAATTGCGATTTGTTTACATTGTAAGTAAAGCTTTGCTTTGAGTGACTATCGAAAGTGCCGCTCGTGCTGCCACGTTGAATCATGGGTGGCGGTAGCCACCTCCGGACAAAGTCTAAACTCGACAACACTGGAAAGCCTCCAAACGAAAAGGTGGCAGCCAACCATAGACACACGTAACTCCCTTATTCTGAAAATTGATTCGTGCTATTGACGCGAAACTCTTAACTGCACGCTGCAGTGCCTTCAAACTCGCAAAACGCAATTTTCATTACACTCGTGTTCATTGGAATGATCGTCCACAATTATTACTTTTATGTCTAAGACACGATGAAGATAATTTCCATGCCGTTCACGCCGATGAAGATAATTTCTATGCCGTTTAAAAAATGCGCAAATTGCGATTACTACTCAGACGCACCGCTAACTCAAATCGTTCCATCATTTCTCTCATTTTCAATGAAGTAGTAGCAACCGACAATTTAAACGGAATGCATTATTTTAGCTTCTATACGATGGCATAATTCAGCCAGTTGGCCATCCTTTATTAAACATAAAGTATATTTAAGGATATTACGTCTTCTCCGAAAAGTTTTTCCTTTCGTGCGTTAGCAACCCTCGCAAGAGAAGAAAACAAAGAAAATGATACATCTGCAGATGCTTTTCCCTTGACCTTACACACTGTCATAACGAAACGTGTTACGCGACAAATGCGGACTCCATAAAAGCCGATGCATTCGGATGATCGAGGCTCTTTATGCCAGAGAATGCATAAAACGTCAGTAAAGAGTCTCTTAAAGATTAGTGTCTGAAGCATATAAGACCATGACATTTTTTCCATCTGTTTCCCAGCAGTTTGTATGCGTTTGCATTCTTTTTCCAAAGCTGAAATTTTTTTCACATAAACTGTCAAAATTTGTTAATGCAATCAATATCGTAACGAAATTGACAGGACATTAATGAAATAAGCAAAAAAATTAATAAAGAAATAAAGGAACTTATTGTTTGTTACTTTTTGTCGATAGATACGAGTGAGCTGCAACGTTCTGTTTAAAATTTCAATACAACTATTCGTGCTCAGTGGATGCCCGTGTTGCATACACGCAGAATTGAAGGCGCTCTAATTTTTTTCTCTCTTCGAATGATGCCAAGCGGACTGAGAAAAGGCCTCGGGAAATACGAATCAAATTCGTGCTAGTTTATATGTAGTATATTTCAAAGATGTTAATATTTCGTCTTGAATCGGTATGGTCTAGGGAAAAAACAGACAGTTTTGATAAACAGATTCAAATCCACTTGGCAGGTCAACTAGATGCAGTCGAGGAAATTTCACCCAAAGCATACAATTTTCGGAAACTTCCAATTCCCATGTAAAGGTGAGCGTCCTATTTTCTTTAGGTTATGTTAAGATTTGAAGATGATCTGTTACACTGGTCGTAATGAATTCGGTTTTTGTGTGTTGCAGTTGATTTTCAGTGGAGAGTACACGAAGGCCATGAACAAGGACTGGCACTCTGGACACTTCTGCTGCTGGCAATGCGACGAGTCCCTCACAGGCAAACGCTACGTTCTCCGGGATGAGCACCCGTACTGCATCAAGTGCTACGAATCGGTCTTCGCCAACCCTTGCGAGGAGTGCAACAAAATCATCGGAATCGACTCTAAGGTAAATCCGATCCCGCCTCTTACATGCAACCAAGAATCGGTCAGTTGCCCCTCTTCTACCCTAAGGGTGTAACTTTAACTCATGAGAGCCCTGGGGCCGAATTTTGTCGGCTTTTTCATACGAGGTGCACCAGCCATCGATGAGTTCAAACCGCACCACCGGCCAATCAGAAGCGCTAAGCCGGACTTAGGTGCAGTCGAGACCTGTCCGTAGTATATTCAAGAACGGAGGAAGGACCGACAAAATTCGGCCCCCGGAAATTATGGAGTTATAGTACCGTGCTAAGGAAGAACGCCGTATGAGCTTCCAGACGTTACCAAATTTCCTTTGATAAAAAGCGAATTTATTAGGAAAATTATGAATAGTTTTTCCCAAAATTTTCAGAATTTTTTTTTTTACTCAATTTAATCTTAACTATCCGAGAGCGATGAGGGCGATGAGGAAAAATAAGCATACATTTCGTCAAAAATGCATGTTCTATCAAGGGAATTTTGGCAACTCTCGAAGACCCATGCGTCATTCTTCCTTAGCATGGCAGTATAGTATTTCAACTACTTTGCTCCGGAACGTGCATGTGCATAACTTCCGAACAGTTCAAGTGATAATATGTAGAGTCAAATCAGCACCCCTACAGAGCGGCTATAGCGTAGATTCTGCCCCGAATTCATATCTCTCGGGTTGCTTAGCAGTTAAGTACACGTTCCGGGGTGGAATACACTATGGAATGGATGTCACTCCGAAATGGAGATGTTGCATGTGTGAGAAATTTGCGATTTGACTGTTGATTCTTATGTAACAGTTCGCGAGAAACACGACGGTGCCTCTGGTTTTCTCTAAGATTAACTTCTAAGCTCAAAAAAAGCTCTCAAGTTGAGGCCAAAATGGAAGGGATACCCCACGCTATCCTGAGAGTCCACCTCTACATGAAGACAAACTCTCCATGCGAAGATAGGGAGCAAATACATTGACAGGGCTGCCACTTTTTCGGGGACTCTAAAACTGAAAACTTGGCATCCCTGCTAATGTATTTGCTCCCTATCTTTGCATGGAGAGTTTGTCTTGATGTAGAGGTGGACTCTCAGGATAGCGTGGGATATCCCTCCATTTTGGCCTCAACTTGAGAGCTTTTGTTAAGCTTGAGGGTTACTTTCAGAGAAAACCAATGGCACCATCGTGTTTCTCGCGAACTTTTACATAAGAATCAGCGCAGTCAAATCGCAAATTCCTCCCACATGCAACATCTCCATTCTTTAAAATAGTTAATGAATAAAGAAGATATATTTGTCTACCTCCGCCGGATAAATAAGTATATTAAAAATCAGAGGTATTTTGGGACAAATTGGATGAGCACAGCCGTAAGCTGAACTTTATGACCAGGAAATCTATAAATGTCGCAGGCACTTAGCAATCAACGGCAATTTACTAGCAGCATGCGTGATTACTCGTAAAATTACAATGATTTGCTTAGACATAATGAAGGCTTCATTGGTAAATAACTTCAGAAGCACGACCTCGATCTCGAGCGCCTTCAAGATTAGTGATACTCTACGCTTTGCCAGGTAGTTAGTTTAGTTACCTATCCGAACCGAACCCAAGTAAGGTCAATGATTTCACTATACTTATACTTATGAGTGTGCTAGCTGGTATCATGCTTCAAGAAAGAAACAAACATGTGGCTGAATTCCAAGCGTAGTAACAGTGCCTTCTATCTTGTTTCTTCACTTCTGAATTTTTACATTTTTTGGTACGACACGATAAATATTGTATTTTGTCAACGATTGTTAATTGCCTAAGACATAAATAAATAAACCTATTAGTTTCATCCACGTCTAATTCTTGCTAATTTTTTTCCTCCAGGATTTATCGTATAAAGACAAACATTGGCACGAGAGCTGCTTCCTCTGCAATAAGTGCAGAGTGTCTCTAGTCGACAAACAGTTCGGCTCAAAGGTCGAGAAAATCTACTGCGGTAGCTGCTATGACGCTCAATTCGCCTCCAGATGCGACGGTTGCGGAGAAATCTTCAGAGCCGGTAAGTCTCTCCAAAATTATACCATCTAAATAAATCCAAAGTCAAAATGAATAAAGAAACTACAAAAAATCTATCATTGTAAAACCACGCATCTTTTACCCACACCTGATTTATTTGGTAAAAGTCGTTTAGCTCTCTACGATTTATTGTTAAAATTCATATGATGAAATTTCAACGTAGAGCATGATGCAATGCAGTGGCGTGGCGTGCTTTGCGATGTACCGAATGATCTGCCATTTAAAACTATGGAAAAGGATCGATAAACAGGGTGTTCTCAGCGAACACCTTAATAATCGATTCATTACCATAGGTTTAAATGGCATAACAATCGATAAATCGCAATTCACGCCACGCCACTACTGATGCAATGGCGATCGTTGTTTTCGAACAATTCTAACTGCAGCTCTCGTTTACATAGTGTGGTTATTTAGCTAATCTTCTTCATATCGAGTCTGGCTTAACCTTCCAATGAGTGCGCTTTGCGGAGAGTTAATCCTCGCGAAAACATTTTTAGTTCGCGCCGCGTCCGAGAGATCGCACGGGATTGCACGCGCGACCTTCGAGAGACGAGCGCGCCCTTCGGCGCGAGTGCCGTTCCGCTACGATTGTGGGCGGGATAATTTGAATTTGCGCGCCCAGCCGCAAAGGAGCGTCGAATATGGACTATGGATCGTATTCGATAGTGGTTCGATGTATCGTTTGTTTCAAAACAATAGAGCATAACCTCAACCAATATTTTGGGACATTATTCGGAAAAGCTGAAAATGAGAAATTTCGTAGCAATTTCACTGCTCTTGGCCACTTAGTACTCATACGAATCAAAAATCTATCATCGAAAATACTTGGCTACTATACTTGGCTAGGAAAACAAACCCACGATTCAAAATAATCAAGTCGAAATTTTAGTTTCTTGGAGGTCAAATTGGATAGTTTTTGTAGAATTGCCCACACGCATTTTACGCCGACCTGCGACCGAACTGTGTTCGGCGCGATGCGTGAAGTATTCATGCACTCTTGTAGGCGCTAATATGTTCTTAGCGCCGACCAGCGACCGCACGTGCACGCGCACTGTGTTAGGCGCAATGCGTGAAGTATTCTTGCGCTCCTGTAGGCGCTAATATGCGTTTGCTAATACGCAAAATATGCTGCCGCTCTATGTTTGGCGAGATTAGAAACGATTATACAGAATCAGATTTGAAAGTAACTGTAGAAACAGAGGAAAGATAATAGGAAAATTTGGACGTTACGAGGCAGCGTTCATTTTTCAGATAAAGAATTGCATTGAAGAGTTTGAAAAGGAAACAAGGGCAGATTTACGGGAACAAGTGATCTAGGTCTCACCTTAGAATGTAAAACTACACTTCTTCTAGAAATGGGAAATCTTGAGGAGGAATATATGCTAAAAACAGGTACGAACACGAGTTGTATATAGCTTCGATCTAGTCGCTGACGCAGCAACGCACTTCTCAGAATCCATTGATAAGTAGTTTTTACTCTGATTTCTCGCGTGCTGAAACGGATCATGTACATTTGAATGAAGAATTAGACATGGTTTTAACGTACCTACATGTAATATTATCAGTTTGAAAGTTGCAATGACCATTTTACCTAAAAAATTTCAGATGTACAGTATTGAATTGGACCGCGTAAAACAGAAAGGAACCAAGCCACATCAGCTATTGCCAAATTTAATTGGGCAATTTAATTTTTTACATGAAAACGGCTCTGCAGATTTTCGTGCAAATTGCAGTGAAAATTCGCATAGTTTGAAGCAAATTCCTTAAGAATTTCAAAGGAATCCGGACAAACGTTCTCTCGTAAAAAATTTTATCGCCCAGTTAAATTTGGCAGTAGCTGATGTGGCTTGGTTCCTTTCTGTTTAACGCGGTCCAATTGAGACTCAATTTATTTGAAAAGGGATAATATTTACAAATTCCGCAAAAAAGTCGTATTTTATCAGAAAAATTGTGGCAACGTCCAAATACTCTCATGGTGTTTTACCGAAAGGAGACAGAATTGGACAATATGGTGTTGCGAATCGCCTAACTGAATGCTCTAACTGTGAGTTGTGAGTGTAGGTTGATTACACAACCAGGCACGACATTTCTTTTCGCGTCTCCATTCTCACTGTCATCGTTAGCATGATAAATTCGCGGCCAAAAAGGTGACAACGACTTTGCAAACAGTGACGTCACCCGACGTCTCTTCAGCAGAGCTACGTCGACTCCTCCGCTCTTGATCATGTACCACTTTCGGGAATTTTTCCTTGTTCGGCTCGAATATTCTCCAACTTGTCCGGGAAATCATCGCGCCTGTGACATATAATACCGCGCTTTTCGTACACAGAACTATGACATCATGGAAAAAGTGACTTTACATGTAGTGGATGGTATTTGAGTTATGAAATAAAGCATTAGAGGAAAGATATGTGACCGCTAACGGGACAAGGAACCCTCGTTCGCGATGGCGTAATTTTCATTCAAGAGATTTTTGTTGGTTTGAGTAACAAATTGTAATTTTGCGATTTTGATAGAGAGCTGTCTCTAGTTTTCTGATTAAGTTACGAGAAATTCAGTTCATTCTCGTGTTAAAAGAGGGCGTTAAGTTGCAGTATCTTGATCTGAATGCGGCAAATTAGAAGTTTAATTGAGTTTTTTACTCGGAAATGCGAATTAAAAGCGAAAATTTGAAATCGATAAGACTTCACTTTGCTTCGACATTTCTGTCGCTGAACTCGTACAGAACACAAATTCATACTCTGCTATTATATTTATAACTCCTTGTTGAGTTTTTACGGACTTAGGTATTTTTTGCTATGAATGGTTCCAAGTTTTAAAAAAGTGCTTTTTCCATCTCTGAGGAAACTAAGGTTTTTCTCTTTAATGAAAATAAATGGAGAATTGCACGCAATTTTTCTATTGCTTCATCTGAAAGTGCTTAAAGATCTGATTTCGCAGTATTTTTTTTTGCAATTTTTTTCTGTTATGGGAGATAGCATAAAAATAGACTTAAAAGTGAGAAAATGCACCGCTTAGTGACGTCATCTGACGGCATTTCCCATTTAAACACATGCATTTGAGTAGATTAGATCATTTTACGAGGGGCGTTCAATAAGTAAGTATCCCCCCTCTCTAAAATCCATTAAAATGGACCAATTTTAAAAAACTTGGGCTCAAAATCTTCCTTAGGATATTTTGAGTTCAACAAAACAAACCGCAACAAAATCGGACTATGTGCGGCCGAACGCGAGCCGTTTGAACGCGCCGAGGTGCTCGACGCTTCCGCCGAATCTGCGGGGATTTGAAGTCCGCGACAGGAGAAGAGCTTCTCTACCAAAGCCTCAGTCGTTCATCACTGACGAAAAATCAAAGAAATTTTTGTAGAATAAGGGACTTACCTCACTTCTCCACATAACCAGCTCGATCCAAGCAGGTCTGATACTGAGACTAAGAGAACGCGCTTTTGGATGCCACGCGCGTGGAAGTCTTTCAGCTGACCGGGTATTAAAGACTTCCACGCGCGTAGCATCCAAAAGCGTGTTCTCTTAGTCTCAGTATCAGACCTGCTTGGATCGAGCTGGTTATGTGGAGAAGTGAGGTAAGTCCCTTATTCTACAAAAATTTCTTTGATTTTTCGTCAGTGATGAACGACTGAGGCTTTGGCAGAGAAGCACTTCTCCTGTCGCGGACTTCAAATCCCCGCAGATTCGGCGGGAGCGTCGAGCACCTCGGCGCGTTCAAACGGCTCGCGTTCGGCCGCACATGGTCCGATTTTGTTGCGGTTTGTTTTGTTGAACTCAAAATATACTAAGGAAGATTTTGAGCCCAAGTTTTTTAAAATTGGTCCATTTTAATGGATTTTAGAGAGGGGGGATACTTACTTATTGAACGCCCCTCGTATCATATCTTCTCCAATAATTGTTCAATTCATGAACCATGGGTATCCTCATGTTAAGTTCACTCAGTAGTTTTCACCGAAACACGAAATTCATCAAATTTCAGACACCTGCAAATCGTCTATTAATTTAATCTAAGAGAGAGGGCAGTTTCAGCCACTTACATTTCAGAAATTTTGCATATTTAACTCTCGACCGTACTTTGGCTCTCCACAATCCATTAGATTTGATGATGCAATACTCATTTGAAGTTTTTTTAAAACAATTTTGGGGAGGATGCAAGAAAACTATAATTGACAAGGTCATTTTAAATTGAATTGTCACTTTCGAATCCCTTCAGATTTTCGATGGAAAAAGAAAATATAAGGGGATGACACTTTTTAAAATGTACTGTTGTTTTTTCAATGTGTTTTCTTCTTTATTAATGAAATCTACGTTTTATGACTTCTACGTTGAATTTTGCAATATGTCATGTGATCGAGCTATACGGCTAAATGTCGCGCGAATATCCCGGCGGCGGCGCGCGTGCCCGGAGCTCCGGGTTGGTTCGTTGGCTTGTTTTTCTGAATGCGTAATTTTCGGAGCTTTTCCGCTCCCCTCTCATTGTTCTCCCGATCGAAACCGAAGCGCCGACCGGTCCGCTTACGTAACCGATCCGCCAAGCGTTAATCCTGCCCTAATTAGGCGAGAGGATTACCACCCGGAAGCAGCCAGTCAGCCATCGCGAAAAACCCGCACCGTTATACTCCGAACGAGAGGGGCGCATAGAAAAAGCTCGGCGCCCTTAATGAGAGCATATTGTGATGCTCCCGCTGAAGAGGAATCAGAAAAGAGGCTTCCGCAGAGGTCGAAAAGGTGACTACGTCGTATTCTGCCGTGGTAAGGAAAAACGCCGTATGAGCCTCCAGACGTTGCCATATCACCTAGAATAATCAATAAATTTACAGTGAAAATTGTGAAGATTTTTCCTTCAAATTTCAACAATTTTGTTCGCTATTTAATCTATAAGATATGAAAATTTCAAAGTCAAATATTCATAACTTTCCTCAAAAATAAACATGCTATTGGTGGTGTGAATTTAGCAACGCTCAAATTTTCATACGGCGTTCTTCCTTAGCACGGCAGTATCGCAGA